GAACAAGAAGCAATGGGTGGAAACTAATCAAGGAGAGAAACAACTTAGAACTGAGGAAAAATTTCTTGACAGTTAGAACAATTAATCAGTGGAATTGTTTGCCTCCAGAAGTTATGAAAGCCCCAACACTGGAAGTCTTTAAAAAGATGTTGGATAGCCATTTGTCTGAAATGGTATAGGGTTTTCTGCCTAGGCAGGAGGTTGGACTAGAAGACCTCCATTCCAACTCTACTATTATATTATTGTATGACTTTTCGCCACACATACAAACATATCCTATTGTATGTTCCAAAATTTCACCATTACATTTTCTTTTCCTATGTGTGTATGTATGTGTGTGTATATATACATACATACATACATATGTTTGTGTGTGTGTAACTTGCAATACATTTTGAAGCATGCAAAATATGTAAAGGTAGATCTTTCACTTGCCTTCACATTTAAGCCCTTGACGTACAAGCCCCCACAGCATTTCTCCACAATGGTCACAGAAGGCTGGTGCTCTGTAGGAATGGACAAACAAAGCATGTGGCCGAATCTGAAAGTCTTCAAAAGTTGCAGAAGCTGGTAAAATAAAAGATAATTTACAATTTTAAAACATGGTGATTTAAGAGCTACATTTATTTTGTCACTGTTTATTGCTCTTCTAAACAATTGAATACTTGAGTCATTCTGGCAAAGGAGTATACATTTAAAGACTTTTGTTCAACTGAAACACAAAACAAAGATTCACAGGAGGATAATAATAATGAATGGAACATGTAGAACAGTTTACTTAGTGTTCCCAAAGCAGCTGTCAAATCATTCTGCATCTACAGATATCTTTTTTGAGGTTATTTAATAAAAGCATATTGTAAACAATATTGTAAATATGAATACTACCTTCAAATTTATAATCTAAAAGATACAACACCAAAAGAAAATGGAAAAGAGAAGCTGAAGAAATCCAGGGCTCAGATTTAACAGGGAGGTTTTTTCTCACCCCAGCAACAAAGATATGGTTTCTTCTCTTCCTACTTAATATCACTTAAATATGAGCCAGCAGTTTGCTGCAGCTGCCAAAAAAGCCAATAAAGTTCTAGGCTGCATAAACAGAGGGATAGAAGCAATATCATATGAAGTGTTAATACCACTTTATAATGTCTTAGTAAAGCCACACTTGGAATACTGCATTCAATTTTGGTTGTAAAAAAGATGTTAAGACTGTAGAAAAAAATGCAGAGAAGAGCAACAAAGATAATTAGGGGACTGGAGGCTAAACCATTTGAAGAATGGTTGTAGGAACTGGGTATGCCTAGTCTGATGAAAAAAAGGACTAGTGGTGACATGATAGCAGTGTTCCAATATATCAAGGGCTGCCACAAAGAAGAGGGAGTCAGGCTATTCTCCAAACACCTGAGGGTAGGACAAGCAATGGGTGGAAACTAATCAAGGAGAGAAGCAACTTAGAACTAAAAAGAAATTTCCTGACAGAACAATTAATTAGTGGAACAACTTGCCTCCAGAAGTTGTGAATGCTCCAACACTGGAAGTTTTTAAGAAGAGATTGAATAACCATTTGTCTGAAGTGATGTAGGATATCCTGCCTAAACAGGGGGTTGGACTAGAAGACCTCCAAGGTCCCTTCCAACTCTTCTTATTCTATTCTATTCTA